ATGTTGAACGATTGGACGTTGCGGAGACGGCCGATCGTTCAAGGTTGAACGATCCAGCGCGGTGTCAGAAACTAACGCCAGGGTCGACACGACACGAACCTAACGTGTGCCATCTCGTGTGGGACCCTTTCTTTTCGGAGTTCCCACGTCCTTTTTCCAGGGGTCGCGAAGAGCGATTTCCCTAGAACTGCACCTCTGCCCTTACCCCACTTCTACGTGCCCCCGACCAGGAAGTGGTCGAGAGGTGTTGGGGACCATGCACAGAGCAGATCAGATCACAGAGTCGGATGTCCAAGTCTAAGTCCTCTTTCTGACGCCTGCTTCTTGCGGGCAGTCTCGACCGCCTCCTGCCTTCGCCTCCTCATCCTCTCTGCTGTGACGACTCACTCCTTTTTCTCCCTTTCCCCTCCACTCCCTCCTCCCCTCCTACCCCGCTCACCCGAGCCCTGGACACAGCATCAATCCTCCTTCACACCCTGCTCCTTCTCCTCCTCCTCCTCGTCTCCTGGTTCCTCGGGGTGACTCGGCCTCATGGGGCCTCTTCGACCCTGTCCTTTGGACCGATTGTTGTGCTCCGGGTCGTCGTGTGGACCGAAAGAGGCGTCCGCGGAATCTTGAGTCGGCCAGAGAGCAACGCGGGGAAATCAAGGCGGGTTGAAGCGTGACCCTGCCTTCCACGTCCGCCCACCTCATCCCCATTCTGCGTCCTCCGCCGCATGATCGACATCGTCGTCGTCGTCGGCCACTCCTCCTCCCCCGTTCCTCTGTCCCTGCCCGTCCCCAGGTTCCTCGCTGCCTCATGATTCCAAATTACTCATCTTCCTCATCCTGTCCTTCAACTCCGTTTCCTCATCCCATCCTCCTTGCCCCTAACTGTCATCATGTTCAACATCGTCATCGTCTCGATACACTCGTCCTTGCCCCCATCTGTTGGCGTTTTGGTTCGCGCATTCTTTCTTCCAGATCTTCTTCCCACTAGGATTGCTCGCGAATGGTATCTCTTCTGGTTATGCTTTGTTCCTTGGCAGCCTTTCGCGGCTGGTCTTCTTGCAACGCCAGCGCGTGCGTTGGCAGCTCGCAGTGCGAGGACAAGTTGCTCCCCCATTTGGCCATCTCGCTTTCCCTCTTCCTGGCCACCGGAATGGCACGATCTTGGCCACAACAGAGCACTGACGGAAGCAAAGCGCAAAAGCACTGTGGCAGAAGCTATCCTCCGCGGACGACCCGTATGCACCGTGCCGCGTTGGCGTCTCCCGAGGCGGCGTCGATTTTTGACCCAGGAATGGTACGGTGCATGGTTTCCTTGCCCGCAGAGCCGAAAGGCTATGCACCATGAGGAGGACGAGGAGACGGCAGCCACACCAACGCTACGACGGCACGATGGCCGCCCCCGTCTCCTGTCCCCCGTCCCCGTCCCCTCCTTCCTCCCTGGGCCGCCCTTGCAGGTGCGGTGCCTTCATCTTTTCACTTCTTCTCCATGCACCTGGCACGGTGCACGAGCAACGTTCTCGTAGAAGCACTGTCGGAGGAGCCATCCGCGACAGGACGCGGGCTGGATGGCCCGTCGCCGGCGCGCACCGCGGAGCTTCCCTGTGCGGCGCCGAGGCCGCGCCATGCGGCGCGGGCCTGTGGCCCAGGTGCCTGGTCCCGTGTTCGGTTACTTTGGTCGGCCCAGGCTCGTCGGCGGCCAGGGCAGGCGTGAGGGCTGTGTGGGTGTGTGTGTGGGTGCGCCCCGATGGCATACGCCCGGTAATCAGCTCGGCGCGACCCGCTAACGCCTTCGCTGATTCGGATCAGCCGGCGGCGAAGTCAAAGTGTGCGTGTGCGTGTGTGTGTGTGTGTGTGTGTATGTGGTTGTGCGTGAGTGTTCGTGTGTTTGTGTGTGCGTGTGTGCGCGTGTGTGTGTGTTTTTGTGTGTGTGAGTGAGTGTGTGTGTGTGTGTGTGTGTGTGTGAGAGGGCATCGGTCTGGGGCCCCGCGGAGCGGTCACGAGCAGCCCGCTCTTGTTGCGACGGTCCGACAACGCAGCCGAGGCATCGGGGCCTCACCTCGGAGCCGCCCCCAGCGAGCACCGGGGCGGAGCAGGGCAGTGTGGCCCCACTGCCCGTCGTGTGTGCACATCGGAGCCAGGGCCCCAGCCTCTCCCAGGCTTCGTGGCCCCTCCTCTCCAGGCGCTCCCTGCCCCCCCACCCTCCCATGTTCGTGCCTGGTCTATGATGTTCCAACTTATTTTAGCCTTGATCACCGGAAAGAATTTCGAGCGCTCCCAAAAGAGCCGAAACTCGAGGGCTTTCATGTGCGGGGCCCTGGGAGACACTCGTCCGACACTGTTTCGACACTGTTTCGACACTCTTTCGACATTTTTCTGGGTGCTCGAAATTATTTCTGGGATGCGGTCCTTAAGTAGGATGGGAGTAACATAACACTCGGGCGATCGAGGAGCCTCCTGGATCACCCGGCCAAAAAGCACGCGCGAAACCGACACATGTGTAGGGAGTGGGCGTCGGAGCGATGGCGCGGTGCGCGCGCACCTCCTTCGGGCCACTTTGTGCGCGACCACCCCTTCTCCTGGTGCGCTGCGGCGCGGGCCCGCGCCTGGTCCAGTGGTCGGACCGCCCGGGCCTCTGGGGTCGCCCGGCCTGGGGCCGCCCTCCCGCCACCGGCAGGGCCGAGGGCGCGAAGGATCGACGAGTGTCGCCGGAGTGACCTGTGGTGCGGGCCCCAGGGGGGGTCCCCCCGTCGTTGAGCGTGAAGCGGTAGCAGCGGCTTGCACGCCCGAGTTTGGCCACCCAGCTTCTCCCGTTGAGCCGCGTGTACAGCCGTTCGCGTGGACACTGTGTCCGAGCAGCTCCAAGGCGTGGCGGATTTCCGGCAGGCGGCGCCCAACGATAAGCTTGGATTAAATGATCGAGTTAGAGGAGTTCCTCAGCGAAATACGACGGCGGCGACTGCTGCCCGTCTACGATTCGAACCACTTCTGTCCTGGCTGCGACGAGCCCTGCGACTGGCACGGCGCTGCCGCCACTCTGGCCTGTGCGCGGTGGCGGGAGACTGGGTGCGCCAGCACAACGCCGCTGCGTTTGGCTGCAACTTTGAGTTGGAGAAGCCAGGGCTCCTGCCGCCGCGCCCAGACGACAATCGCGCGAACCTTCGCCGCCCCGCCGACGTGTACATCCCGACCTGGCACTTGGGCGTGCCTGCTGTTTTTGACTTCGCGGCTTCTTCGCCGCGTCGGCAGGCTGTCCAGGGCTTGGCTTCCGAAGGGAAGGGAAGCGTTGCCAGCGCTTACGACAACCACCTTGACACGGTTGCACCTTGCAGGCAGCAGGGGATTATTTTCACCCCCATCGTTGTAACGTTTTCGGGCGGCTGGGGCCCGATAGGGGCCGCGACGCTGAGCCGTCTGGCGCAGGCCAGCGACGTGCGGCTGGGCGAGGAACCAGGCACCGGAGCGAAAGGCCTGTTTTGGCAGCTGTCGGTCGCCATCCGCACGGCCTTTGCGCGGACCGTCCTGCGGAGACATGCCGAAGACAGCCGTGCAGGGGGGGCCGTCGCGGCGGTTCGGGGCGTCCTTGCTGAGGACAGCGAGGGCCCCGTGCGAAAAGCTGGGGCCGACCCCCGCTCCGCCCCGCTGCCTTCAATATTTATCTTCATCGCCACCATTATCATCACTGCCAGCGTCGCCAGCATCATCATCATCATCATCATCGCTATCGTCGTCGCCCTCGCCGCCACTGCCCTCCTCCTGTCCCACTGGGCGCCCCCTCCTGGCCGAGTAGCTCCGCCGCCCTCTGAGCAGGTCCCGCCCCTCCTCGCCCCCCCGTTTTCCCTCGACCGCCCGCCTCCCAGGACAAATAGCAGCAGAATGCCGCGCTCGAGCGCGCTGCAAAGAAACAGCGATACGTTGTACTGGGTGAGGGAGCAGCATATTGAGGGGGGGAGGGCAGAGGCACAGAGGGATGAGGAGGGAGGAGGGAGGAGGGGGCGGAGGAGGAGAGAGGAGAGGAGAGGAACGCGGGGCGCTGTCTCCTTAAAACGAGGGCCCAGCACCACAAGACACTTTCGGAAATAAACATCGGTGTATAAAGTTCGGTTCCTTACAGTCGGGAACAAGAAGCGAGACGGTCAAGACGCACGGAAACGATGAGCAACTCTCCGAGGTTGCTCTGGCAGCTTTGCCCCCTGCGGTCATGTCTTGGCAGCCTTCGCTGGCCGATCCCGTTTGGAGAACGCCAGCATGGCCTTCAGAGCCCTTCCTTGTCATCCCCACCGCGCAGCTTTCTTATGAGCTTCGGATGTGCTCAACTCAAGGACAACAAAGCACCGACGACAGTCCGAGGGAGCGTCGCCGCAGCAATGCCATAGCACCGTTTGAGGTGTGCCTCGCGTTCGAAGTGTGTTACCTCCGTTTTTGTGCATCACGGCCAATTCATCGCACGTGTCGGCGGCGAGTCCGGGGTGGACATGAGAAGTGGCGGGCCTTTTCAGAAGGCCCAGAAGTCCCCCGGCCTTCTTCAAAGCCTTTTCCGATGAGAAGTCCCGCCGCTTTCTGAGAGGGCCTGCTCCCCTCCTCCGATGCCTGGTGGTTCGGGGGTCGTACATCCCGTCTCTCCAGTGGCCGTTCAGGACGATCCGAACACCCCCCGAACGCGCTCGGCGAGGTGTGGCCATTGGCATGCCCCCCAGGGCCAGAACACCGCCGAGCGCCTACGAAAACGCCTCAAAACCTCGAGCCTCGAACCCGAAACTCCCAGACTTCTCCTCCCTGGCTGGCCAGAACACCGCCGAGAGCCTACGAAAACGCCTCAAAACCTCGAGCCTCGAACCCGAAACGCCCAGACTTCTCCTCCCTGGCTGTCCCCTCCCGCTTCTCCTCCAGGCGCACCGCCGAGCCCGAGGGCTGTGGACATCGCGCCGGCTCGTTGTGATCGCCGCCGTTCCCATCCCGCCTGCGCCCCCCCTCGCCCGCGGGGCCCGCTGCGCCCCGTCCGCGCGGCGCAGGACATCGCCAGGCTCGAGGCGGAGAACGCGGAGCTGTCCAGGCAGGCCGAGAAGATGAGGGACCCGCTCCGGGGCCCAGCCCTCTGCGCCGGGGGGTGCCAGGGTCTCAGACCTCCCAGATTGAAGTCGGGCATGTCCCTCTACCGGAGAAGTCTGCAAAACATGTCAAAACAAATATTTGAAGGATGTTTCGTTGTTCTTCTGTGTTCGAGCACGTTTGACTTTCTTAAATTGTCCTCCGACATCCGCCTGTACGAGGACATGCCCGACCTAATCCTAGATGGGATCGAGGTAGATGGGGTAGGAGGATCGCGCCGCATCGCCGATGCATCGCCGATGCATCGCCGATGCATCCGACGTCGCCGATGCATCGCCGACGTCGCAAGTGCATGACCGCTGCATCGCCGATGCATCGGCGACGCATCGCGGACGTATCGGCGATGCGGCGAGATCTCCCGACCCCATCTACTCGGACCCCATCTAGGGGGCCTCTAGTGGGGGGAACGGGTCCTGAGGTTTTTCGCCGTTTCAGGGCCTTCAGGGCCTTCCACGGGACCTGTCAGAGAACGACTCGGGATGAACATCTCGTCCTGGGGGCAGGCCCCAGGGTCCAGGACCCGCTTCCCTCAAGACCCGCTTCCCCTATCCCAAACCACCACCTCCACTAATGGAGCCTTGCGTCCGTGAGGTCGCGTGGGCAGGCACGCCACATGCGTGCAAAAAAGAGCGATGGAGAGCTGACACGCCAGACACGTGCCAAGGAATACGCGAGACACGCCAAAGGCGTGCCGAGCCAGGGGGGAGGCACAGCGGAGGAGGACGACGAAGTAAAGATGGTGACGATGCGATCGAGCAGGGAAGCTTCAAACATGTTGTATTTGTTTATGCACTTCCACTGCCCACTTCTGCCGGGGGCGGCCACGTTTTCCGCGGAGTGCCCAAATTGCGCGAGAAGCGCCATCCGGTTTACAAAGACTTGTTTGATCTCCATACCCACCCAGACACCCACCATCTCACCCCCCCAGCCCATATCCACATCTAGGAGGGTAAATCGGCCAGTGGGGCTCAGGCCACGCCGTTGGGGATAGGGCTCGACTGGGGGTTCTCCGTCGAAGTACAAGACGGACCTGAACATGATGTCTCGGAGTTTCGCAAGGATTTCTTGCGTCGGCGTTGGCCCCCCCCCTGGAGGCGCCTCTGGCGCCGCCCCTAGCTCGCTCCGTCAGCCGCACCGTAACGGGTACCCACTAGCGGGTACCTGGGAAATTTTACCAAATTTACCATTTCAGGGCCTGTTTATATCATTGCAGCGTTGCCCACATCGGGAAGGGTTGGGTTCGCCCGGTTACTGGCCAAAGTACTTGTTAGAGGAGTTCCCGTTAAAGGGGCGCTGCCTCCGCCGACGCGAAGGAGGGCGAGTGCTGAGCAGCGCTCAAAGACACGGGTTTAGTGTGTCAGCTAACGGTTGCCGCTGGTCGCTGAGCTGCCGCTGCCGCCGCCACCGGCCTTTTTTCCTGGCCTGTAGTCGAGCTTGATCAGTGGGCCGACCCTTGGAGATCTTGGGGGCGTCCAAGGAGATGGTGAGGACCAGGGGTGTGTGGATATCAGATGGAGCGATACCCAGCGAAGGAAGCGCGGGGGGGGCCTGTGCGACGCTTAGTTGGTGTAATAATTAGGTTTGGGGCTTTTAAGGGATCCAACCAGGCAAACACAAAGCAGACCATGATATAATACGCGGAATGTGTTCCATCTCGTCCTGATCTCAAGACAATGCGATACAACGGGGGATTGCGATAATGGAGTTTGCAGTTGCCTGCGGTCGAATCGCGACTGTTTGCATAAAGTAAGAAGCATGCGCTACACCAGTTTGCACATTGTGATACTGCGCGATGTAAATTGGACGCCGCACTACTTATTTTATGATGCTGCGCGATGCGCACTGCAGCCCGCCACTGCGAGTACTACGTCGCGTCGACGGTATCTAGTAGTGTGGTGTTGGCTTTCAGGTAAAAGATGATTCATGCAACCATGATGCGAAATCTGGAAATGTAAAGCGTGGCAGACGAAGACTAAATTTACAACTGCTTCCCTCACTAACTTGGTACTTGGGCAACGTTTGTTCATTCAATTGCGCAAGGTGATAACAGGGCGTTGAATCCAGAGTTATATGAGAGGCGACGCGGTGGAAAATATTGGCGCTATCGGCGCTTCATCGATGCAGAACTGGTGATGCGCTTGCGCTTGTTACTGTTGGCTGTTTGCTCCTTTGTGTCTTTCCACTCTATCAACGTCGGGGGAATCGGAATCTGAGCATTTCTCTGTGCAAGCTGGCAGCGCAACAAAGCCATGCCATGCGCGTGGCAAGATGCTGCGGGTATCATCGCCATGCCCCACGAACCCAGAAACCCAGGAACCTAGGAACTCATAAGTCTAGGAACCAGGATCTCATGAATCCCAGGGAACAAGAGCCCCCAAACCTAGAATCCCAGGCACCCAGGACCCCAGAAACCAAGGAACCCAGGAATCGAGGAACACAGGAACTTAGGAACGCAGGAACCCAGGAATCGAAGAACCCAGGAACCCAGGCTCCCTGGAACCTAGCAGCTAGGATCCCAGGACCCCCCTCCTAAAAAAACAAACAAGAACCCCAAAACCGCAGGAACCCAGCAACCCCAGAATCAAGGAACCCAGGGACCCAGGAACCTCAGAATCTTGAAACAAACCAGGAACCCAGGAACCAATGCACCGATGAGCCCAGGAACCTAGGAACTCTTGTCAGGGGTCTCCCATTATTTTTTCATGTCCCTCTCATGTCTCCCTCGTGTCTCCCTCATGGCTCCCTCATGTCTCCCTCATGTCTTCACCCTATCTCTCTCATGGCTCCGCATGTCTCCCTCATGGCTCCCTCATGGCTCTCACGGCTCCCTCACGGCTCCTTCACGACTCCCTCATTGGTGGTTCTCTCGTGGTTCCTCCATGGCTCCCTCATGGCTCCCTCATGTGTCCCTCGTGTCTTTCTCATGTCTCTCTCATGTCTATCTCATGTCTCCCTCTTGTCCCCCTCATGTCTCCCTATCGCCTTTCACTACTCTCTCCTGCTTCGAGCGCAGAACCCTCCGGGGCTCGTGCTCCTTGCCTGATCGGCGCTGAACTCTTCGGGGCTAGTGCCAGTGGCAATGAACGCCTTGGAGCTCGCGCCAGGGAAGCTGGAAGCTTCGAGCGCAGAACCCTTCGAGGCTTGTGCTCTCAGTTCCATTGGGCCTCGTGCCGCGGAGTCTATTGATTTACGCAGGTGTTCGTGCTATTGAAGCAGGAAGGTATGGTCGTTGTTCTGAATTTTTGTGTTTTGATCCCAGGGCCCTTCCAACAAGCTGTTTTGGGCCTCCGGAGGCCAGAGCATCCTGGAATTGAAATGTTGGGGCTGTTCCTTTGGAGTGCGCTTCGGCGCGCACTCACTGGAGATAGGAGGGGTGAGGAGGAGGAGACGGAGGAGGAAGATGATGAGGAGGAGGGGGAGGAGGGGGAGGAGGAGGATGAGGAGGAGGAGGAGGAGGAGGAGGTCGCGACTCTAAAGCTTGCATCTGCCCTCCTCCCTCATCCCCCTCCTCCTCCTCCTCCTCCTCCTCCTCCTCCTCCCATCTTTTCAACTGAACTGAGGAGAATCAGAAGGAGGAGGAGAGGAAGACGAGGAGAACATGGACAATGATACGGGGAGAAGAACAGTTGTTCGTTGTGCCTCCTTTTCGTCCTGTCGCAGAAACCAAACCTGGGAACCCAAAAACCCAGGAATCAAAAGCTCAGGAACCCAGGAACCCAATAATCCAAAACCTAGGAACCCAGGAACCCGAAATTCAGGAACCCAGGAATCCAGGAACCCTCGAACCAACTTAAATCTGGAACATTGGAGCCGTAGAATCCAGCGCCTAGGAACCCAGCTCTCATTGCTCCCTCATGGCTCCCTCATGGCCCAGGTTCTGGTTTTCTTTTGTCGCGGATTACACAAGAATTTTCTTTGTGGCGGGCTACACATTGATTCCCCTTATGGCGGATTACATGTTGATTCCCTTTGTGGGGAATTACAAAGGATATCAACATGTCGCGGATTGCAAATTGATATGTTTTGCGGTTGGTAACACATCATTTTTTCTGTGGCGGGTTACAACGGGAATCCTTTTGTGGCAGATTGCAAACTGATTCTTCTTGTGGCGGATTACAATTTTTTGTTGCCAGTAACAAAGGGAATCCTGTTGTGCGGGGTTACACATCGATGTCTGTTTGCGGGTTGTTGCAAATTGCTAATTCACTCCTTCTGTGGGGTAGCTAGGAGGAAACAAGGGGGAGAAAGAACACACCACATAAGAGTCAATGCTTTTTTGTGTCGGATGCTGCGAGCAATTGTGACGACACAGCGTTTTCAGGATGCAGGGCTCCAACACGCTGCGTTATCTATAATGATCCCATGCTTCCCAGTGCTGAACATGCTGTGTTTCTACATGTGTTCGGCATCTGGAAGCATGAGCACATTATAAAACACAGCGTTTTGGAGCTCTGGATCCTGACAACGCTGTGTTTTCGAAGCTTTTCGCAGCATCCGACAGCAACAACATGGAAACACAATTCCCACAATTTCATGTTTTGATGGTATTGTTGTTTGTTTTCTTCTCCCTGGTTTCCTCCTGGGTACCACTCAAAAGGAGTCAAGTTAAACATTGCTAAACATGATTCCCTTTTTGCAATCCCCGACAATCGGATCCCCGACAATCGATGTGTAATCCCCGACAATCGGATCCCCTTTGTTAGTCGCCAAGGAAGGATTCCTTTTGTAATCCGCCACAGAAGGAATCAGTTTGTAATCCGCCACAAAAGGATTCCTTTTGTAATCCGCCACAGGAGGAATCAGTTTGTAATCCACCACACACGGCAATGAACTTGTAAGGGCGCCGTACAATAATTCCTTTTAGTTGAGGATTCCAAAGGCTATTCGGTTTGTGGCGAAGAGATAAAGAGAAAGACAGAAATGGAAATAGAGAGAGAAAGAGAGAGAGAGAGAGAGAGAGAGA